TCCTGTCAAGGTAAAGTTGCTAGGTGCGTAAACTCGGCGCTGCTCTGAGCGAGTGGATCCACACCTGCAAGCTGTAACTGCTGTTTCAAAAGTGCCGAGGTGAGCTCTAACAGCCACGCATTTACGACTTAGGTTATGTATATATTAGGTCAAGTCTGTCTGTGAGCACGACTCTAATAGCGTAATAGATCTAAAGTTGTTCTTCTTGTAAACTTTATAATTAACTTTGCGCCAGTTGCAACACAAAGGAAACGCAGTGGTGGGAAAGTAAACGAAATAACATGTTGACAGCTTTAGGATAGACAGACAGACAGATAAATAGGTAGACAGATAGACATACAAATAGATATATAGGTAAACAAATAGACAGGTATACAAATAGATAGATCGGCAGACAGATAGACAGACATACAAATAGATAGACAGGTAGATAGATCGGAAGACAGATAGACAGAATATACAATTAGATAGACAGGTAGATAGATCGGTAGACAGATAGACAGAACATACAAATAGATAGACCGGTAGTTAGATCGGTAGACAGATAGACAGAACATACAAATAGATAGACCGGTAGATAGATCGGTAGACAGAACATACAAATAGATAGACCGGTAGATAGATCGGTAGACAGAACATACAAATAGATAGACAGGTAGATAGATCGGTAGACAGATAGACAGAACATACAAATAGATAGACAGGTAGATAGATCGGTAGACAGAACATACAAATAGATAGACAGGTAGATAGATCGGTAGACAGAACATACAAATAGATAGACAGGTAGATAGATCGGCAGACAGAACATACAAATAGATAGACAGGTAGATAGATCGGTAGATAGATAGACAGAACATACGAATAGATAGACAGGTAGATAGATCTGTAGACAGAACATACAAATAGATAGACCGGTAGTTAGATCGGTAGATAGATAGACAGAACATACAAATAGATAGACCGGTAGATAGATCGGTAGACAGAACATACAAATAGATAGACAGGTAGATAGATCGGTAGACAGATTATACAAATAGATAGACCGGTAGATAGATCGGTAGACAGAACATACAAATAGATAGACAGGTAGATAGATCGGCAGACAGACAGACATACAAATAGATAGACAGGTAGATAGATCGGTAGACAGAACATACAAATAGATAGACAGGTAGATAGATCGGCAGACAGACAGACATACAAATAGATAGACAGGTAGGTAGATCGGTAGACAGATAGACAGACAAACAGATAGATAGGTAGATAGATAGACGCTAAGCCTTTCAGGTAACTCCTGGTTTGATTTAATATGACAGACTGGTATAATTATTCGTTGTTTAGTGGATTAGAAACCAGATTTTATTCAATTAAAAACTGCCTTCTGACGTTATCTCTATGCAGGAATGCCGCGTGTGTTGACATAGGAGAAGCATGGCTCCCGTCAGATCCGCGCGGGTTTTAATATCGTGTACCACCACGGCCGCTCCATTACGTTGTGCCTGATTATCACCTTCGTAAATTAGCTATACCAGAATTTATTCATAGCCTCAGTGCCTGCACATGGCCCAAACAGGATACCTAGACGGAAAAGGCGCTACGAAAATTGATGGCCCACCCGCAGTGTCTTAGCACCTTTTCTAATCAGCGCCACACAGCTTCGGCAAAAATATAGCGTTGAATCGTCAGAAAAATCACGTTCCCGGGTCTTCAGGAGAGAATTGTCTATTTCATCATGTAAGTCTCAAACAATGAGTTGTTCTCTTGTTTCTCTTTACTTTTTTAAGGGGAGAGGGGAGGAGAGGGAAGTTGGTTCAGACCATTAAGCTGTATATTTCTAGAAACCAACAGGCTCTGGACCTTTACCAGGCTTCCACTTTATTTTTTACTTCTAGCAAATTTCCAGTTCTCGTTTTTATCACTCCTTTATTTTTTACTTCTAGAAAATTTTCAATTCTTCGTTTTTATCACTCCTTTATTTTTTACTTCTAGAAAATTTTCAATTCTTCGTTTTCATCACTCCTTTATTTTTTACTTCTAGAAAATTTTCAATTCTTCGTTTTTATCACTCCTTTATTTTTTACGTCTATTTTTAGAAGGGTAATTGTTTGTTGTTGTGGTTTTAACGCAAAGCTACAAAAATGGATTATTTGCGTTCTGTTCACCGGGGGGAATCGAACCTCAGATTTAAGTCTTTTTATATCCGAGAAATTTAAATTAGATAATTTAGTTAACCTAAGTTTCAAGAAAAATAGTCCCAAAAATCTACTGTCATAATTCAATTTTTTACCTAAAGTGTTAAGTACTAGTGTTCCCTCTAAGCCGCGCGGCCGCACAACAACCAATCAAATGCCGCGCACTTCACAATTCCAGCCGCGCACGTCCTCAGTAATGGTGAGGAGTCTCAACACGTTGAGGGCCTTAATGACCCCGGCAAGCAATAGGCCTAAAGCCCAAAAACCAACCGGTAGCACTGTAATTATCCAATAGGGTCGATGGTCTAAAAATACCCCTCGTTAAAACAAAAAAGGCGCACATCCGCACATTGCCTTGATACTGGTGCACATGAAAAATTCATTGCGCACATGGATTGAAAAAGTTAGAGGGAACATTGGTAAGAACTACAATTTAATAATATTCAATGAAAATGTCATATCAAGTCGTACTTGTGTTTTGCCGTGTAATGCACATGACGAAAGAAATATTATTTTTATGATTATAAACTTATAACAACAAATAAAATATTCGGCATTCTACTCCACCTATCTGCATTATATGATTTACAAATATTTTTGTGAAAAACAACTTACTTCTTTATAACATATTTAATAACAAAACACATAGGAGTCACGGCGATGGGGGTTTAACACAAAGCGATACAATAATGTTTTTTCACTTATTTTCTTTTAAAGGCAAACAACTAAATCACGTTCTGAGAAGACAAAAAAAAAAAAGACACAGTACGAGTATAAAAAAAGGTAATTATTGTAGGACTGAAAAATACCGAAACCTTTGGTGGCCCTTTCTAAAGGTGGTCAGGGAGCTCGAGTCGCAATCTGGCGGGTCATGGGTTCGAATTCCGTTACCGAACATTCTCACCCATAACGCCGTGTGGGCATATTAACGTCCCGGCCAGCCCTGCAATTTGTTGGTAAAAAGAGTAGTCCTCTAGTCTACCATTGCTAGCACAGATAGCCCTCGTGTGGCTGTGCGCGAAATTAAAAATATACCAAATCCTTTCTAAGGGCAAGAGGAGAAACAGTGCTAGGCTAACTGAATCCTAGACACAAACGTAGCTCTATTTTAAAATGGTTTTGTATGTAAAAATAGGATTATGTATATGTGTGTATATATGACTGCTAAGAAGAATTGTATTGTAAACATGAATTAAAAGTGCGATCATACATAAGTGAAGCTAATGAAAATATACGAGTTAATAGCACCACGTGAATTGGACGTGGCACGAAAAGGGTATATTAATTAAAACTCCTGACAACGAACAAAATTTAACATACTGTGAGTAATGCAAAAACGTAACAAGAGTTATTACCTAGGATTCAGTAACAGTGCAAATAAAATAACAATTCCCGAGAGGTCAACTTCTAAATTAGGTATGGCTAGCAGATAGTCCTCGAGTGGTTTTAGGCGAAATTTAACCATCGAACAGACCAATTTTGTATTTGTTTTTGGTAATATAAGAATTTAAAGAAATTATTAATATCGCTGAAAGAGAAAAATATTTGTACAATCCACGTTTCGACCAAATGACCTTCTGGATCTGCAGAGATGACCCTTTGGTTGAAAGGTGGACAAAGTGATTATTTTTCCCTTACAGCAGTTTTGACCATTTCCTTATACTTTCAAGCTTTATGAAGCTTATAGCTACGCAGTTTGTTTGTTAGTAGTAGTGTTTTTCTAATTCTTTATTTTTGTTTTTACTTGATTTAGTAATTTCTTTACACTGGTAGTCGAAACGTTTGTTTTGTATTAAGTAAAACACTTACACTGGTAGTCGAAACGTGTGTTTTGTATTAAGTAAAACACTTACACTGGTAGTCGAAACGTGTGTTTTGTATTAAGTAAGTAAAACACTTATATTGGTAGTCGAAACGTGTGTTTTGTATTAAGTAAGTAAAACACTTATATTGGTAGTCGAAACGTGTGTTTTGTATTAAGTAAGTAAAACACTTACACTGGTAGTCGAAACGTGTGTTTTGTATTAAGTAAGTAAAACACTTATATTGGTAGTCGAAACGTGTGTTTTGTATTAGTATAACACTTACACTGGTAGTCTAAACATGTGTCTTGTATTAATAAAACACTTACACTGGTAGTCGAAACGTGTGTTTTTTATTAAGTAAGTAAACACTAATCCAAGTTACATAACAGGCTATCTTTGCTCCTTTGCACGAGTATTGAAGCTTACCACTGAGCCTCTAGGGGAGGGGGGGGAGCATTCATGAACATACAGCTCTTAAAACAATTTCTGAATACAAGGGGGATTAAAGTTGGTAGGTATAACCGATTTTGAAAGGTAAAGCTATATCACAATGTTTACTTTTCAGTAACTATATCGTCATGTACCACTTTGTTATCGTAATGTTTCTTTGCTAAAGTATTTGTTTACTTTTCTCGTAGTTTATTACTTCATTTTCAACTGATAATGGAACATTATCTTAGTTTTATAACCAAAAATGTTTGCCCGTGTCAGTTCTTTACATGGTTCAATTCTTGCTGTAATTTAATAATACGTTGAACTGTGTTCATGTGAAACCAAAACCAAAACCTCACCTTCCTTGTAACTGTTTTTTAACCAATGGTAAACAGTCTAAGATTATTATTGGAGGAGGTTTGTATGTATATTTGGTTCGATGTTGACCTAAAAGAAGGAATATACAAGCTTGTATTTTTGAATTATTTTATCTCATCCAATTTGGTATAAGAATCTAGCATTCCGAGGTGTAATGGAGTGGGAGATACGTTTTCTGACAAGTATTGAGGATAGGGCAACGTCGAAGAAAGGATTATTCAGCATCAACCTGGAGTTATTCTCTATTCTAGTCAACATTACATAGGTGAGTTGTAATTTGTATCTATTCATCAGTATCTAAGATACGTTAAATATACATACTGAATTCGATCATACTATCGCATGTATCACCAAACATTGAAAGTTTATATTTCGGTTTGTTTGTAATTAAGCACAAAGCTACACAATGGGCATCGAAGCCCGGATTCTAGCGTTGTAAGTCCGCAGACATACCGCTGTGCCACTGGGGGCTTACATTTCGAATACAGGAAAACATGATTCAACACGTTCTGTACGTTATGATGAACGATACTACCATCTTAACTCGGTCTCTTAGATAACATCAAGCCCCCCCCCCCAGTGGTGGGCAGATCACAGATAGCCCATTGTGTAGCTTTGCGCTTAACTTCAAACAAACAAAGATAACATCAAATAAGAAACATTTTCCATATCAGATTAGCTTCTTTTTTTTTCAAACATACTATATTCACGTCTATATCTGCATCAAAACATTTCCGGAATAACATATATGACAACTTATTTATTAAAATATTCAAATTTCGAATAATCCCGAGTAGATGCTTGTTCATTACTCCGTGCGTAACTGGCAAAGATAGCTTATAAGCACGTGATTAAAGTATACCCCTTCGCTCAGATGGCCTGGCTTTCTTAGCCTGTGACCATTCTCAACCCTAATCTTTCATGTTCAATCATTAAAATCCACCCACGAATGAATGACCTTCATGGAAAACGATAAACTGATTTGTAACCACTTTTCAATTATTCTCCAGAAAACATGATATTTGAACTTTGACCGTTATATTTTATACCACTGATTTCCAGTTGGTGGTACGTGCACCCCCTACTGATACGTGGAGGTCATAGAGAGGATTACGCGAGCTACTCCTAATAATAATGAAAAAAAAAAAGAAACACTATAAAATCAAACAAATGCAAATAAAATATAGCACTAATAAAAAAACTGAGTTGGTAACACTACTATACACTATTATTGTTCAGCTCAAAGCCACAGGTCAGGTTTGTTTGATTTGTTTTGAATTTCGCGCAAAGCTACACGAGGGCTATCTGCGCTATCTGTAATATAGCAATGAAAGACTAGAGAGAAGGCAGCTAGTCATCATCACCCACCGCCAACTCTTGGGCAACTCTTTTACCAACGAATAGTGGGATTGACCGTCACATTATTACGCCCCCACGGCTGAAAGGGCGAGCATGTTTGGTAGGACGGGGGATTCGAACCGGCGACCCTAAGATTGCGAATCGATCGCCCTAACCACATGGCCATGCCTGGCCTTACACTGGTCAGCCAGGGTGTGATACTTTTTGTTGTGGTTTTGTTTTTTGTAGTTACGAAAGGCGCTATTATATTATCCACTGTAATAAAATTAGATTCGTACTGAACTAAAATATAACAGATGAGTAAGTTATTTTTTTTTAGTTATAGTTATTATTACACTTAACTACATATAGTGTTAATTATTATTATTATAGTTATCCGACTGGTGACGACCTTAACAAGGCAATACGGTGGGTGCTATATGGAGTTAATAATAATAATAATAATAACTTATTCTTGAAAGGTAAAGAATTATTCTGTCTTTGGGACTATTTCTAAATCTCTTTAGTAAACATACTTACGGTTTAGCTACATAGCTATTTCCTGCATTTCTGACGCATTCTATTTACATACACAAGGATTTCAGTCAGACCGCTTGTCCTCCAACGGACCTAGATGTATGTCAGATAAATAACTAATTTTTGTTATTTTCTTTTCGTTACTATTACGTCATCGTTTTACATGTTTTTAAATTATAGTTATACTTATCATTAACTGATATGACTTGTGTTCGTTAATGAACATTTATCGTTATAGTTAATTGATAAAACACTGCCTCAAGGACAGTATAAGTCCTGTTAGGCCTATTTCTACAAGTGCAACAGGTATTGTGAGATTATCGGACGGACTGGAAAGGGTCAAAGGTTAAGCACTATATATATACTTTTAAGAGTAATAGGTCTTTCACCTTCAATACAACTTCCGTGGAAACGAAAAACCTTTACTAAGTCTGAAATGAAAACCAAATATTAGAGAAAAAAGCCGAGTTTATCTGAACAGTTCCATAGCAGTAAAGTCTTATTGATACTTAATACACTTCATTGTGGTAATATCACTCATAGATTTAATTTTTTAGTATCATTTAATATTTAAAAACACTT